TGTCTTTTATACTGATAACGAGTTCAAACAGGTGCCATTAATACAGTTAACAAGTGGAGGACAGAGGAGGCTCTTAAAGAAGAAGTTACAGGTCTGTGAGAGCCAGAAATCTTGTTTGTTTGTAGGTGACCAAATACTTATTTTCCACCATAATTTGCAAATAAATTCTTTCAAAATCAGACAATGGGATTTTCTGGATTTTTTTTTCTTTCTCATTTTGTCTCTCATAGTTGAGGTATACCTAGGATTACAGGCCTCTCTCATCTTTTTAAGTGGGAGAACTTGCACAATTGGTGGCTGACTAAATACTTTTTTGCCCCACTGTACATTGATGGGGAAAGCAGATTTCAGCTGCCACACTGAGAAAACATAATGCCAGCCGTAGCAGTCCTGTAAGCACACTGGAATGCCCTAATGAGCCCTGTTAATAAATAACTGTACAACACCCTCATGCAGATAATGGAGGATTCTGGAAAGTTTTCCATTGTCAGTGTGGGTGTAACTTTCAGATCTAACCTTTTGTTCCGGATCCCTCTGGCATTGTAGTTTTTGAATTTGAGTGACGCTGAAAGGATTTGTGTCTTTGTTCTGCATGTGAATGTTGTTGTATGTTGTGTGTGTGCATGTGTGAGTGTGTGTGCCTGTGGTGTACCAAACAGGGAAAAAGTAGCAAAGCCACTAGCAAGTTAATAAACTCCAGCTGGGCTTTGTTGTGCTGAGGACAGGCAACAGAGCCCAGCACATTCTCTGTAGCTGAGCTCACACATCTTCTCTGCAAACCAGAACTAAGCCCAGCACCCAGGGTTTTCGAGGTTTTTACTGAAACGTTTTTAAGAATATTCATACTACCCCTACTTGTAAGTATTGGTAGCCACAGTGTGAGTTGAGTTTCCTTGAAGTGTAGTAGCATTTCATTTTGTTTTTACTATTGCTTTGCAACCAGATAGGAGCTAACTAGATATACATATATTTAAAATAATTATCATTGTGTAGTTTTGTTTTATCTTATCATGTTATCTTTATCATGCTTCCAAAAACAATAAGTAGTGGAAGAAGTAGTTGAATCCTTTACTTGAGTAAAAGTAAAAGACTGTAAAAAATGGTCCATTACATTTCAAAGTCCTGCATTCAAAACCTCACCAAAGTGAAAGAAGAAACGTATTATCACCAAGATGTAAAGTATGGAGACTCGAGGTAGTCACAATGGAGTAAAGTACAGGCACCTCGAATGTACATTCCTCTGCTGGTCTTACAAAATGTTTAAAGTTGTGTAATGGACGTTAATTTGACTTTATGAAATGTACACTTAGTTGCCAGTTATACTAAAAGCAGCAGACCTTCAATAACTCCTTTCTTCATGAAGGTTGTAATGTTCAGTCTTTGTCAAAGCAGCCTTACAGAGGTGTCCATTCAATTGAAAACCCTTTTAAAAGCTGTAGTTGGAAGTGCTGAAAGTGTGTTATATATTATGTTGTATACACTATTTACCTATAGAGACAGTGGAAACACAAACTATACAAACTATGGCTGTAACCAGGTTTTTATTTTATTTACCTTGACGATTACTTCTCAAACTTAGGTCGACATATTATGAAAAACGTCTCAGAATAGTAGTTTAAACACCATACTTAATAAAATAGCAACTGACTGCATGTTTAGTGTCCTCCTTGGTTTATTTCCTCTTCACAGTAAACATTACCCCTTTGGAGGTCATTCTCCCATCTGTCAGTCTCTCCCCCACCATCTGTCTCTCCAACACAGTCAGTTTACATTGTTACTCTATGTAAGATGCAGCACAGGGGGGTCTCAAACAGTAAACCATGAAGGACAGAGAGTCTGCAGTCTCTATACCTTATGCTCTCTTAGGTGCAAGATAGCACATCATTCCTGACAGTTAAAGCATGATTTAAAAACGGTTTGATTTATCTTCGTCAGGCACATGTCCTTTTTTTCTTTTCAAGTCCATTCTCTTCTAGAGAACTCTGTAATACCCACTCTCCACCGTTAAAGGCTGTCTCTAAAGCAGAGAGCGAGCGATGTTTAGTCAAAACAAACTCTTGGTAGTGAATGACGCACAGCCACTGCACTGATACAAGCTCTTGTTTGTTCATTTTAATTACACCTGTGAAAATGTGTGTCCCACTTATTCATTCATGTTCTTGATCTAATAAGCACCACCAAGCAGAAACAAGATTAGATAGAGCTGTGGCAGAAATGTGCTCCATAACTGAAATGACATTTCTGCTTATAGCATCAGTCATTTTGTGGCGTCTTTCAGTGAAGTTAAATAGACACTTCATTCATTGAAATTACATTCTGTATGAGATATAATCAACTTAATAATTTCAATTGACTTCAACTAATCAGTTTCTGCTTCAACTACATGTCATAAAATCAAACTAAGCCTCCTCTAATTATATGTATTAAATGATCCAAAGTCATTCATGCAGTTCATGTATTTTCAAAGATCTACCAAAGCTTCTTTTAGAATGTATAGCAAGAAATATTTGTATTAATAATGATGAATGTTGTATCATCGCTGACATTTAAAAAGCAGTAATACATAGTTAGAAATAACGCCGGAGCCACCAGCCACTTAGTTTAGCATAAACACTGTAAACAGGGAAACAACTCCCTAGGAAGTCATTTGACAAATCAACAACTCCCCGCCCTCGCACTTTTGGATGATAACTCATTACTGAGCTTAATAGAAGCTGATCTGGAGCTTGTTCAGTCTTTATGCGCTGCTTAGCTAACCAGCTACTGACAAACAAAATGTTTTCTAGCATAAGCAGCTACACAAACTGAAAAACTGCATAATGTGGCAAAATCATGACTCAACTTAAACCATGCCTGATCATGTATAAATATAAATCTTTGCATTTCCTGCTGGGTTTCAGTACCTAACTGCTATCGATCATTCAATACCAGCAAATGATTCAGGTCTGATATCCTTAAAAAAAAAACAGTGTATGCATTTCCCATATTGAAGAAGTGTGTGCATTGGGGTAAAAGTCAGTTTGTGTGTGTGTGAGAAAGAGGAAGGCATCAATCCAAGCTCATTTCAACCCTTCTCATATCTCTCCTCAGCACACATTCAAACACAAGAAAAAAAAGAGTCTACTGCCAAGAGAGGGAGGGAGGGAGGGAGAGTGAGATATAGAGCGATGGAGAAATGATGGGGGAGAGTGAAAGAAAGAGAGAGAGCAAGAGAGGACAGAGTGAGCGAGAGTGAGAGAGCACTTTCTATTTATAGCCTGTGTGCCCGGAGAGGAGGAAGACTGTTGTTCGAAAGCACACTTGGTGCTTATGATTGTGTTCTGCAGAACACAGGCTGCCACTCCGAAGGAGAAGGAATATACAATAAGTACATGCCATACAAATGATACACCATGTGGGTGGGAGGGTGGGGTCCTTACTGGGTAGATAAATGGCTGTTTGAAAGGCTGATGAGAGGGGGAACCTGATTGGTCCAGTAATCTCCCCCCTCAACGGCACACATGAACTATAATAACCTCTACCTTCTCTATCCTGCTGGGTGTGTTGATCATTCATGCACACACGTTCATTAAATAAGAATATGGCTAACTACTCGAAATATAAAATATAGAGGTTTCATTTTAGGTCATTGGGATAAATGAATCCCAAATTGGGAAATGTTTTCTTGCAGCAGGATGTAAAACAAATTATTGAACATAATTATAAGTATAAAAGAGCAGAGATAAACAATTACACAAGACAAAACAGAACTAAAGAGTGACATGTTTGACCGTGAATAAAGCAACAATGGTCATGTTAAAAATATATCTTTAGTGCTGCGTGGGTGAGCAAACCCACCACTGACTTATTATCTCAATATAATGACAAAATAAAATCATTAAACATTTTTTCTAAAGTGTATTCACTATATAACACAAATTGTCCCATAACATGTCAACATGCTGTTTGGCTCATTTGTAGCCTTCAATTTTGGATTGTTAAAATATTTATTTAAAAAACTAAATAAAAAAAGATGATTTAGAGTATTCAAGTTAACTTTCTTTATATATATACTTAGAGCATAACATATGTCCTGTCGATAGAAAAATGTATCCTGTCCATTTTTTGTGTGACGTGAATAAATAATGTATAGTTTTATACAAACACTAAGTCTTTACTAAGTCAGTATCTGCAGAGACCCTGCCCTCTGTCTGTATTTTCAATGTTCTCTGTTCAGGACATCCTCTTTAATAAGTGCACCTAAAAGCGGAAGCTACGGAAATGACTGACATAGTGCCAGATCAAACACAAAATATATTTGTTTACATTTGGACAGAGCCAAGCTAGCTGTTGCTACCTGATTCCAGTCATATTGCTAAGCTAAGCTAATTGCTTTAAACCTTTAGCTTCATCCTGAGCAGAAACAATAGCGGTTGCAATGTTTTCATCCAATACTCAGTGAGAAAGTGTATATGCTTATTTACTAGAAGGTTGTCCTTTACCTTTAAGTACAAATAGCAAAACACCACCAGGTTTCAAACCGTATAGCTCTTCGTTACATGCTAACCTCGGTCTAACATGTACACTCAAACTTTTCTGGCCTTTGCAAACTTGCTGTCTCTTCAGTGGGGGCTGTTTTAGCACACCAGTTATTTCCAGGACCTCTCAGTGGACCTATAAATAGAACACACACACACACCCAATCACAGACACTCACTCACGCACACACACACACCCTTCTATTTCACCTCTGTGCGAGGTGGTTTTGACGTCCAGGTGTTCTTAAGCTCTTACTAATTGGATGCCTGTCTACGTCAGTAATGCATAGCTGTGCACACATTTTTCCTTTTTTGTCTTCTTTTAATGTTTACTTCCGTAGATAAAAAACTTTGATTAACTGTATTTTACTTGTACTTTAATGCTTGGTCTCATTTGCTGAGGCTTTGTCTTCTTCAACTCCCTCTTTCTGATTTTCCCGGGTATTAAACATATCTCTCCTTCCTGTCTTCCTGTCTCTGCAGCGTCAGACAACAGCCAGCGATTTCAGGAGACGTGTTTCGCCTTTGCATTAACGCCACAACAAGTCCAGCAGATCAGCAGCTCGATGTAAGATGAACACCGCTCCATCAGTGCAGCATGCTGTTCATGAATAATTCATACTTGAGCATGATTTCAGTAGATATGTGGTGATATTTGTATTCCTGTGCTCGAAGGGACATCTCGGGGACCACATGTGATTTCTCAGTTCAAGTTCAGTTGCGGTTTTGCCTGTCGGAGACGAGCTGTCCTCAGGAAGACCATTTTCCACCCAATCTGTGTGTGAAAGTCAACGGGAAGCCATGTAACCTTCCGGTGAGGAGTACTCTCAGTAACTCTCGCATGCTAGTGTTGAACCCATTCTCATTACTATTTGACTTTTTAATAAACACAACAGAAATGCTAATGTTCATCCTTTCCCCTCTGATATTCATGTAGGGTTATCTTCCTCCAACCAAAAACGGCGTAGAGCCCAAGCGGCCGAGCCGGCCCATCAACATTACCTCTCTGGTCAGACTGTCCACCACCGTGCCCAACACCATCGTGGTGTCGTGGACCGCTGAGATCGGAAGGGTAAGAACCAGAGAGTCAAGGAACAATTTCATACCAATGACAGTTAGCAGGTAACAATCAGAATCAAGTTTATTGCCAGGTACGTTTACACATACAAGGAATTTGCTTTGGTATCCGGTGGTGCGAACATAAACTATCTAAAAAAAACAAGTTGCAAAATAGGTAAAAAATATATATACCGGTATATACGGATAATAAAAAATAAGTATTTTTATGAAATAATTTAGGATTAAAAAGGATGCTAAAGACAAATATTTACACCAAGTTTAAATGTAACTATATCAATTTAGGTAGCATGACTAAACATTCGCTGCCAATGGCTACTTAAATATATTGATTTGCTGGCTGACTGTTGTTGGGGTTGGAGACATCACTTCAGACTTCGGTTACTGATGATGGTTCTTTTTCGTCATTTTATATACTTAATGTTGAGACAGAGCAATTGTTTGCATCACTGATTATCATCTTCAATCAGATCTTTCCAGTTATGGTAATGAGACAATCACTGATTTATCATTTCATCTATACCGTCCAAGCTTTACACGCCTTTTTATATAACGCGATATATTAATATGACCTCTTTATCTTAAGGAATTTGCTGATGCAAATTCTTGTTAACCCTGATCGAAATGCTAATTGATGATTACATGTTGTTTTTGAAGTTTGTAGGAAATGAATGTACACTTAAAGCAGACTTCTATTCTATAATTACACTTTTTGCCTGCAGTGTTTATGGGATTAAATGGTTATATTAGGTTGAATTTGTGGGATGCAGTTTGACTCATGAATCAGACAGCCAAAATAACAATAGTGTAGAGCAGTGGTCACCAACCTTTTTAAGCCCAAGATCACCGACCTCGGCCTAAGTGAAAGGCGAGATCTACCTATTGCAGAATTGAGTGAAAAAGACGGCCCAGACAATGCTTCCAATTTGAGGCCTTTTATATAGGCTAATTGCATCTGAATTACTGTTACAATGAAGGCTCCATAATCAGCTCACGGCATATGCAGGGGTAAAGTGCTATTGGGGGGCGGACCTCACCTCATCTAGGGGGATGCTCCCCCGGGAAGATTTTTTTTTAAATATTGAAGTTGAAAGCATCAATCTGGTGCACTTTGAGAGCAACATGAAGAGATCTATGGATACCTCTCTACGCACCCATATGAAACAGAACTGTAAACAGATTTTCTTTTTCTTCATGGATATTTTACAAATCACTCCCCTTTTTACATTACATTACATTACTTTTAAACTGTATTCTTGTTTTACTGCCATAGAGTAGGCTATTTCATACCTGGTTTTCATTTATTCTCTTATTGTTTGTATAACTATAATGATCATATAAAGGTGTGCCGCGGAAATAATCTTTTGAATAATTTGTGACAAAACCGTTCTAAACACTCAGAGTCCTTTAGCTCACCTGAGCTCCTCAGTCTGACAGGAGAGGACTGTCCTCCAGCTTGTTGTGGAAACAGCTCCTTATGTCCGTTAGTGCAGCTAGCTAACCAGATGCTAACATCACGGTCCCTGCTAGCACCGGTCCCTCTCTCTCTCTCTCTCCCACTCTCCCTCTCTCTCTCCCTCTCTCCCTCTCTCTCTCCCTCTCTATCACACTAAATGCGCTATTGCCACAAGAGCCGAGCTTGAATGACACAAGCATACGGGTATTTCCATGCAACTCTCTGATTGGTCTGGTGTCTTGCCTCTGTCGCGTTCACTGAACACGAGAAATTACAGTCCTGCCGTCGTCTCTTGTGTCATGACTCATGATGAGGTTCACGTAAAGCACAGTTAATGTATTATATTATTGAGGTGTCTCAAATATACGTCAATCTAGTGGCACCTGTTAACGGGGTGGTGGATGATAGGTTTACATCTAAAAACGTATTTTTCAAACATTATTATTTTAATTTTATTTTTCTTTCTTTTGTTACTTTTTTTTTTAACGGTCCGCGATCTACCCGCACCACCCTCTTGATCGACCGGTCGATCGCGATCGACTGGTTGGCGACCACTGGTGTAGAGTAATGAAACATAAAACTTCAGAAAGTCTGTGCGTATAACCGTATAGAGTCAAAAGGCAAGCTCAGTCAAGGCACAGTTATTGACAAAATCCCCCTTTTAGACCCAATAAATGTACATTTATCTTGCAATAACTTTATTATCTCATATGCTCACTTATATTTAGCTTGAGGCTGTTGTAGAGATGGCAGTAGAAGAACCATCTCAACATGAAAGTACATGCTGACCTCAAATGTCTTCCTCTCCTCGGTGCTCCCGTACACATGGCTGAACATACATTTGTCTCAGAGCACGAGGATCGACTTAACGTTACAAAACCATCCCGCCTGCTGAATCACCTCCAGTAACACCATTAGAAGTCACTCTCTGTGCTGGCCTAGAGCTTTGACCAAAAAGTGAAAAACAAAAAAGCATCTCTGGGTGGGATTTAAAGTTGTATTCTGCCCATGCTGACATTATTTCCTGCATTAATGTGTGTCCTCAGAGTTACTCCATGGCAGTTTACTTGGTGAAGCAGCAGTCGTCCACAGTGTTGCTACAGAGACTACGAGCCAAAGGCATCAGGAACCCCGACCACTCCAGAGCTCTCAGTAAGGATGGTCTTTTTCTTTTTTTAGAGAGATGCACTGATCAATATTTACCTTATATATAAGCTGATCAGGCACTGGCCAGACATGACAAATACACATTTGAGATTTGATTCATCATTCAAACTCCTTGGTGTGTTTGTTCTCTTTGTAATCAAATAATAATTGGTCAAATAAAAAAAGTGTTATAACTCACCAGTGCCTATTCCATTAGCGCCACAGATTGGAATAGTAGAAAGATTTGGTTTAAATGTAACTTGCCTTTCGTTGTAGAAAGTCTTCCCTTACATTGAAATAAATGAATCCTTCTGTTTATCTTGTGCGCAGCAAAGTTTGAAACTCAAAAACCCCAGATTTTTAAAAACCACATCTATACTGTATGAATCTCATTCTGTGTGTGAGCGATATAAGAAGCTTCAGGTGCAGAGGAGCTCTTTCTCTCCAACATTATTCATTACCTCGGTTTGAATCACCTATTCAAGAAGTACAAACCTGTTGTCTGGTCCTTGCTCACTTATGAGTGTGTGTGTGTGTGTGTTTCCCTTCTTCCTGCAGTCAAAGAGAAGCTCACAGCAGACCCAGACAGTGAAATAGCCACGACCAGCCTTCGAGTGTCGCTGCTCTGCCCGGTAAACATGCTCCCTGCTCCTCGTGACTTCACAGCAGTGTTTAGAGATTTAGTCATGCCAAGACACGTCCGTCCATTATTTTCTTTGCATGTGTCTCAACCTGCCTATATGCCCTCAAATATGTGTTGTGTACCTCATTCACCTTTCAAATGTCTTCTCTTCCCCCATCATGCACCTTCTCCATGTGGGTTTGGCATATTTGTGACATGTGTGCATGCTCTCCATCCCTGCTGTGTGTATCCTCCTCTTCATGCTCTGACTAAACGTGTGTGTGTGTGTGTGTGTGTGTGTGTGTGTGTGTGTGTGTGTGTGTGTGTGTGTGTGTGTGTGTGTGTGTGTGTGTGTGTGTGTGTGTGTGTGTGTGTGCACTTTGCAGCTGGGGAAGATGCGGCTGATGATCCCATGCCGGGCGCTGACATGCTCCCACCTGCAGTGCTTTGACGCCACACTGTACATCCAGATGAACGAGAAGAAGCCCACCTGGGTGTGTCCTGTCTGCGACAAGAAGGCTCCCTACGAACACCTCATCATCGACGGGTACGTTTCTCAACCCGGTATCCCCCCATCCTGCAACCACCCGTCAGAATAGATGCAATAGATGTTCAGAACCATTAACCTTAAAACCCAACAGGGCCCCATGTCCGACTACAAGCTTTTTTTCTGCCGCATTTCAGCTGCATGTTTGGGTTTTATACACTCATTCATTTGTTTTGCCTTAGCTGTAAACCTCTATTAGCTGTTAACCTGATCTTAACACTTTTGTTACTACATTACTCATTAGCCAATTTGTACACTGATACATTGTGATTTATGTTGATTTATCTCAAAACCTAGAGCTTCACAGAAACACAACTTATCTAAATCTCATCTTTTGAAGCCATTTGAAGGATTAAACATTATGGAATGGACTTGGTATTTGCTGTAGGATAACTCTAAGTTTGTGTGATGCCATCTTGTGGATTTGCTATGGTCGGCTTGAATTCACTGGAGAAACTGGGTCACTGAAAAGATGTCTCCGCAATTATTTTCAAACCACTCTTGCAGCATTTTCTTCCATCCTCGATGCATATGTTTATGTTACAAACACTCACTTGGCTATCTTTAAATCCTGAAGGAAGAGGGATAGTATGTGATATAAAAAAGAAAGGTGTTTATTATCTCATTAAAAAAACAGTGCTAATGTTAGCCTGTTTTCATTTTCTGTAGAAGTGAACATTCTTTGCTCAGCCTTTGTTTGAATAAAACCAATTTCTGTTTGTGTGTACTTTTTTCAAATAGTTTTTGTATGACGTGTATGTTTGTTTCAGGCTTTTCGTGGAGATCCTCAACAGCTGCATGGACTGTGATGAGATCCAGTTCAAGGAGGATGGCAGCTGGGCCCCCATGAGGTCTAAGAGGGAAGTGCAGGAGGTCTCCTCTGCTTCCTATAGCAACGGGCTGGATGGTGAGGCATATCATGAGGGATGAAGAGGGAGACAGGGCGGGGTTAAAAAACAGAAAGGCTGCTTCTACATGAAGGCAGGGAGAAAAGCCTGAAAGTAATTAAGTTAGGATTACACACACATGGCAACTGGAACGTGCATTTCCATCCCATCTTTGTGTATGCGTTGTCAGTTTTAATTTGGCGGGGCATCAATCATGATGCCACTGAATAAACTGCCTGTCTCCATAGTAACAAACACTGTTATTCATTTGAGAGCAGGGGACAATTGTATGTCTGCATGTTAGCACAGTTACAGTATTCAGCGGTGGTTTGTTTTTCACTCTGCAGCCTCAGGAAATGATAAACATGAGCACAGTGACTATAACAATGTGGCGGCTGCTCTCCAGGTTCATGTCGGACGTCTGCAGGCTCGGACCAGCGGGGCTCGTCCAACAGCCACGGTGACAGCAGCAATAGACAGAAGGTGGAGGTGATCGACTTGACGCTAGACAGCTCCTCAGAAGACGAGAGCCAGGATTCACCGCCTTCGCCACCGCCGCCACTTCCTCCTCCGCCCAAAAGACCGTGTCCCTCCATGTCCCCGCCCTCTCCGCCACACAACAAAGGGTCAGACACACACACACACACACACACACACACACACACACACACACACACACACACACACACACACACACACACACACACACACACACACCCACACACACACACACACCATGTGAATGAGAATTTTCAATGACTTTTTACGATGTTTTATTTGATTGTTGCCTCTGTGTTTAGTGTCCTGTCTGTCTGTAACTTTGTGTGGTAGTGTTACCACTGAACAGGTCTCTCTTGAGAATGAGACCATGTGTCTCAATGACATTTTCAACTGTATAAATAAAGGCTAAAAAGAAAACCTGCACATTTAGTTAAATGGGTAAATGAGGCATATTTTAGCTGCTCAGATGGGTATTTATTCATTTAGATGTTTACAAATTCACGAGTTTTGCACTTGAACACACAAGTTGCTTTTCACAAATGAACAGCGCCCACAGAGGAAAGCAGAGAGTGCTGACTGAGGAGTTTTTCAGAAAGTGAATTTGATTTTACTTCTAGAAATGGTTGACTTTCAAAAAAACACAATCGTTTTATGGCACATAAGAATCGGGATCATAGGATTAAAGTTCAGCCAATCGTAATTCAATATGTATATAAATGTCAAGACAGCAGTAAATGCTTCACAAAACTCTCAGGATCAGAAGGATTGGAAACTTCTTCCAGCTGACAAACAGAGGTAGGGGGAAGAGCTTTTTTGGGCGCCCCTGTTACTATTCATTTTGACCATTGACCATGTTATGAGATGCACAGTTTCAATGTATGTAGAAGGTGGAAGCTTATGTATATACAAATCGGGAAACGTGAACTACATCTCCAAACAATTTACAGCCAGTGGAAGCAAAATATTTGACTTGTAATCTGCAGCTTACATTAGTTCACTTTTAATATGGGGTCAACGCTCTTTTTTCATTTTCTTACGAACTGCAAAAAGGAAGCATTTGAGTTGGCTCTTGTTCTGATTCACGCCTCTCATGAGACTCTTTGGGTATTACAGTTTCAAAACTGTCCTTTATATGAAAATAATGCATTAAATATGATTTATCAGAAATAAGTATAACATATTAAGTGACAAATCAGAATTGAAAAGATCAGATTATATATAATTTGTGCTGTTCAGTAATAAACAGATCTGAGTCACATACAGTGGGGAAAAAAAGTATTTAGTCTTTAGGCCTTCTCACATCAAATGAAAATCAGCAAAGGGGCCCTGGCTGCTCTTAACTATAAACACTCTGCACAAAATGGCTTCCATCTCTCAGAGTTGATAAAAGCAGCATTATTTTTTTCTAAGTCGGCGCATCATCTTCCGCAAGAGTTGCCTGATTAGACAGTCCTAAACTCTGATTGAATTCTAAACATTTAGCTGATCACAAACATGGGCAGCGCTGAGTGTTGCTGTTAGGGGGCTTCGTGATATAATGACTTGGGCATGGCGTATATATCTCATGGAGCCAAACGCTAAAGACATTGTTAACCACAGGATATACTGTATGTGCAAAAACAAGCTTTGAGTGAGCCTTCAGTCTATGTAGCCATAGTTGAAACAAATTACAATAACGCAAGCCTAAGAGATTGCTGTGTTTCAATGTTCAACAACTCTGAGGAATTAGTTACGAAACACCTTTTGAAACAGCTACTTTATCTTTACGAATTAAAATACATAATGAACATCTGGAAACTTCTGCTGCTTCATTTGACTTTTATGAATCATGTGACTGTTCAGAGGATTGTGCTTCCAGGTTCAAAGGAGTAGACGAGCCGCCCTCTGTCCTATCAAATACATGTGAAATGAAAGCAAAGCCTTATTATAGATTCATTTGCTTCTTCTCTAAACCTCTTCCTCTGTATCTGCCTGCAGGGTGTTGAACCTGCACCACCAGGTCTCTCCTGTCAGCTGCACTCCCAGCATGCCTGCCGTGGACACAAGCTACATCCCTCCTGTCCCCCCCCTCATTCAGGACTACAGACCGTACTACCACACCCCCACCGACCTGTCAGGTAAACGTTTAAGGGGTCAAATGTACTGTATTGTTTTTATTCAGCAAAATATCTAATGCTCGGTTTTATTAAATGCATCTGATTGAAAATACCATTAGACACATTCAGCTATATAATATAATTCCAGCTTTTAGTAACTTTAAATAAACATTATGCATTTGCACCTTTGATATCGGTTGGTATTGATGTTCACCATTATTCTGCCTGTGCTTGATTTCCAGAGTTGAGCTTCTTCTCGTTTCTTCAAGGTGACAATCATCAGGTATGTAAAACATCACTGAGTTTGGGGAGGTGTGTGGCGTAGTGGGTTGTGCGTTGGTGTTCGGATCAGGGGGTCACAGGTTCAAATCCCCCTGTATTGAGTATGTAAGTCGCTTTGGATAAAAGCATGTAACAAGTAATGTAATGTTTACCCTCCGGATCCTTTTTGTTTTCAGTGAAGCAGAAGCCGGTGTGTTTCACACGGACTGTGCTCACATGAAAAACAAATCAGAATCGTCAAAGTGTTATCTGATGAAAAACTTCCTCTCTGCAGTGAGCAAAGATCTTTCATGCAGCGTCAAACGCTTCAGAATGAAATAAAGAATAGAGATTTTTAGGGTATTGTGGCCATAAGATGTGAGACAGTCTGCTGCTACACGCTCTAACTGTGTCACTGTCTGCTTCTGTCTCTACGGGCTATTTAAAGGAGACATGAGAGTGAGACGTTTGACAAATGATGGTCGTTACCCACCGGTTACTGGGGGGCTGAATTCTCCGAGGCGCTCGAACATAAATACAGTTGTTGCTTGATTTCTGACATCCTCATCTGTCAATCTTCTCCGTTTGAGTTCTATTATCTACAATGTTCTTTATAAAGGGTTGGTTATCCCACATTACCAACAACAAAGCAATTTTCTTTTAATGGGACACTGTATCTAGATGTTTAGATCCTTTTGCTTTTGAGATTTCAGATACAGTACAGTAAGCTTTAATAGAATTTCAGAGAGTTTGAGAAAATTACATTTTAAAAATGTAACAGCAATTACCTTTCCAGAATCAGCAACCCCCGTTGCCCTGGCGATTTCCCCTTGCTGTGAACCGTTTTTATTGGATCATGATTCTCCCGGAGACTGTAAGCAGCATTTCTGTCGACAAAAGATAAATTGCTTCTGGAAAGACGCTACTCTTTAATATCTTGAAACGCGGACTAAACAAAACCCAAAACTACCTGCGTAGCCACTAAAGATTAGTAAATAATCTCATAGTATATTCTCATCTTTGATGCTTTGATTCTTCATAGGACACATTCAGTAATGAATAGCCATGCTGTCTGAACTTCCTAATGTCTGGTCTTTGGTCTCGCCTCAAACAGGGAACATTTTCACAAAGCATCATATCTGCAATACTAAATTGCACAAAAAATCAACCTTGCTCAAAGTGTTCCCTGAATACCCTTTCACAAAGCTGCTGACAGTCCTGAGATATGGAAATGGATGACCTCAATTATCATTTGTGAATTTAGTCATATCTCAACAGCGATTGGTAGAAAGATTACATTAAGTCAGTTAATGCGAAAATAAAATCAATACACAGGGGCTAAAAATAGATTACCATTAGCAATCTGCTGTAGCCAACAAACCTTAACCATTAAAGCAAAGTAACAATACTGACTTGTTAAAGACCTTCCTCATGCCGGCAGGGTACTTTTGTTTTTCCAGCTGATTTAACTTGTAGTTTGGTTATTCTACATACAGAATTAATATCTCCTCGTAATTCAACATTAGCCATTAAATCAGATGTATTGGTTAAGTTTAGTTTAATTTATTACATTTCAACATACAACTTAAATACTCATATAATGATTTAAACAACTATGTGTTCACAACTATGATTTTTCTCCTGGGTATTTTATTATTGCTTAATGTGCCTCGCCGCACATTATCCCTCACTTGGGACACCATCATAATATGCTCTCAACACTTCTTTAATATTTGTTTTATTTGAACTCGCTGGTACAACATTTATTGCAAAAATGCTTTGTGACCTGCTCTCAGACTCAAATCGAAACCCAGCCAGTAGGGTCTTCTGTTTTGCAAACACTCTCCATGATAACCTCATCAGCCTCTGAACTCAGCTTTGCTCCTCTCTTCTGTTTCTCATTGGTTCAGCATTACAACATGGTGATGGCTGCCGCGGCCGCAGCTTCAGCCTCAGACGACCACGAGCTGCTTCTCAACCGCTTCCTGCCCTACAGCACCTCCTCCTCCTCCTCCTCACAGCTGTTCCTCGACCAATCAGGAGGCTCCTCAGCCCCCTCGCTGACCGTGCCCACCAACGGAGCAAGCAACTCGGGCAGCAGCAGCAGCAGTCTGGTGTCGTCAAGCAGCCTCCGCGACACACACTCCACACACTCGTCTTCACACTCCTCACACACACACCCCGTGGTGGTGGCCACCCGGAGCAGCGCTGAGGCGGCAGTGGCAGCGATTTACGGCGGGATACCTGACGTTATATCGTTGGACTGACTGGAGAGCAGTCAGAACTACACTTTGGGTCCAGCTGAGATCCAGTAACACACGTTTTTTGACTACAGGGTGAAGTTTTGATCCAGAAAGTTGACTGGCGCCAAGTCATCACACTTTGTGGAGTCCTAATGAGGAGAGTGCCTCAACGAGAGCACTAATATTATATATTATATAATATTAACAGAGGGTTCTCTTCACTAGACAGAGCGGTGGACTTCTGTTTGTGTACTGACTTCAGATCAGGAACCTGTCCAGCATGTTTATGGTACCAACGCGGCACAAACAGCAAAGACTCTACTTGAGCAAATCACACAAAGGACAAATGCTCTTTTCTACAAAAACGAGGAGTTAGCACCGTGTACAGAGAACAAATATATTTTCCTCTTTTACTTTTGTATGTTATATCGGAAAATGTTCAGTCAAGTGAGCTGCTTCAATTGCTGCTTTTAATTAGAGGACTGAGGTTGCATTTCCCTTTTTTCTCTCAAAGCTTTGATATAACGCCTGTTGCCATGTGGTCGTCTTTTGCTTCTCTTTTTGTCCTGCTTACATTTAGCTTTATTTGCATTTCTACAATATGAACTTAAAGGTCCCATGTCATGGCCATTTCCACTGATCACAATTCCATTGTTGAGGTCTACTAGAATAGATTTATATTGTGCAATTTTCCAAAATCACTTTGGTTTCTCAAACAGCATCTCTGTAAACTACGTGTATTCACTGAATTTCACTCTCTGCCTTTAACGGCTCGTTGTAGCTCCAATAGCTCCAGCCCCCACCCTCCCTGTGAGCACAGTGTGCTCACAGGGAGGTCGGGACGTTGTGAATCGCGCTAAGCTCCGTGGAGGTGTGGTTTCCTTGTTTAGCGATACACAGCCAAACTCATCCTGAGCACACACAAAGTCACAGCCGGAGTAAAAACAATAAGTGTGGCTTGATATTGAGTAAGAAAAAGGTTGATAAACGCTGTGAGAATGGGTCTGCAGAGAGAATTTCGCCGCGATCCCAACTGTCTGTTATCAGCCTGCAGCCAGGGAGGAGAGATCAACAGAGCTGCTTGCACTGAGTGTGTGTGTGAGGAAGTCCGTGGATTGGTCAATTTGGACCAATCAGCGGGGGCTTAATGTAACGGCTCCGCGGACGTAATGTAATGGATCCACGGATTGGCCCATTTCGTTCCGGGTACGCATGACATCATGCGTACCCGGAACGAATCAAATGGACAGTGACGTATCTCCAACGAGGCGTTTGGGGAGGTATTATTGTGTTAGAGCTTTTACTCGCTACAGGGTGTACTTTGAGGGTTTGTGACTCTGCAGACCGTTTACATGCATAACAACCTTCATAACACACAAGGGGATGGGTAATAACCAGAAAAGCATGACATGGGACCTTTAAGTTTTCTCATTCTTAACTGATCAAGCTCCATTTTAAAATGATGCTTTATTCTTTCTCTGTCCAATAACAAGAACACTGAAGTTACAGTTTGTATTCATGTGCTATTACTTTTATTATATTTTAAGTTATGTATGATATTTAAACCGTAATAAATATATAGTATATATATATATATATATGTATATATATATATATATGCATTCCCTTTGACCTTCAGGTTAATGCTGTAGGAAGTGAGTAGTAGTAGAAATCACTCCTTGATTTCCAAATCCTCACAAAGACTCTGCCGGAAAACAGCATTTAGAAATGGAGAATTTTAAACTCTTTATACTTGCAGATTTAGAGTTTTGAGCTGGAAGAGTTTATTTTTCTTTTCTTTTTGCACAATGCCAAAAACACGATAAAGTACCTGATGAAAATGATCATAATATCCTGAGTGCAGTTGAATCTGTGTGCCACAGTGTTCTCCGTCCAAGTGTCCACTTCTTCGGTTTCAGCTGATGGTTATTTAGACATCTCTGTTCATGTATGTCTTGTTTTCTTAGTTTCATCGTTCTTTTGCTTGACTGTTAAAGAAGGTATTACAATGAAGGCCGAGCTGTTGTAGCAGCACAGTCCTTCTGGAGAGACGGCGTCCATGGCATGTGACCAAGTTTAAACTAGTGCCTGTTTGTGTGCATGCTTCACAGCGTGGTGGGGATGTTTTGAGTTTCCAAACTCAAAAGAATGTCTTTAATGCTCGCCCACAACCTCTGTCCCATCTGTCGAAGCTTTTTGTGGAGATTCGTGATGTATTTGACAGCCTAGGCGTTATACAGGGAGTTATCTTTGGGAAACTGCTCTTGGAAAAGCATGGAAGAGTGCCACAGTGAAAGAGGGAGATTTCAACATGCCAACTTATACACTGGGCACAAAGCCAGCTGGTTTAAAAATACATGACCTGCCTGTAATTTAAAAACCGTACGAGCACTTTGTGTACGATGTGGAAGTGTCCAAGTGAGGTGGAGTACCTCCATTCAGCTGGGGACACTGTTTGCTCGTGAATGTATTGTGTAATTGTAAGAGGGGACACACTTTAGGTGTTTGCTTCCATTTCGGCTTTTAGCAGATGTTATCAAGGTGTCATTAGCAGTAACAGCCCACTCCTCCTCCTGTGCATCCTGTAACGTTCCCCTCTCATCAGCCTCTCCTCGATGTTCCACTTTCAGACGTCCGAGACAGGCAGCTCACTTCGGAAACAAATTATCACCAGGGGATAATCCATTCTGACAGCGGCCCCCCATCCCCTGTCCCGTCCTTCAGCTTCTCACTGAGATGATGACCCGAAGTGACCCCCCCCCCACTCTCTCTTTCCTCGCTTGCTCTCTCTTTGCATCTTTAACTTTATTCCCAGTTCTTCTAATGAGAACAAACCCCCGGCTCTCACACTGACCCAGAACCAGTCCTTGTGTATTTCCAGTGTTGTTCAGTATTTTATTTATTCTTATTTCTATATATTATATTTTTTACAAATTGTTTGATTTCCGTTGGTGAGCGTCAGTCACTTTCACTCGGGAGCTGTTGTGCTATGATTTTATTTAATATGCATTTTATTAATATTCTTTACCAGCAGCGCAATCTCTCACAAAGGAACCAATGAGTCATTCTTCATGTAAATGCTCCTGTTTGACGCTTTATAATCAGGACACAAAGCACATGCTTAATTAATACGTGCATGACTCATGGTGATTTAATGTTTTAATTAATTCAGGATGTGTTATGAATTCTGGTTGCTCACCAAGTCGCTGAGAGTTAATGTGATTAGGTAATGCTAAATGGATTATCAATGAATGATTAGCTCAGTGACTTCATACGTACATTTATGTACAGCCAAGTTAGCAGGAGTTCAGTTACATAAATAAGTCAGTATTCCATTTTATGGCAATATCAAGCCATCTTTTTTCTTCAGACATTTGCCGTTGATGGCATTCATCCACATTTTGAGAATTAATATTTTTCTGTTGTCTTAATTTGTTTAGATAATTAAAAATCATATTATCACATTAATTAAACCATTTAAAACCCATCTGTGAACATGCATGTTCACAGATGGGTTTTCTTAGCTTATGCTAAAGTGAACATTTTGGAAATGTTTTATCAGCCACTGTATGTAACTGGATTCCAGATCATTTGGTAGCATGTGAAAAAACATTGATCATTTTTAGTTTTATCTGCCGACGTAAACTCACAGTGACTGCTTCATGGCAACAACATGAATTTGCGTCACATTCTGCATAAATTCATGCATCAAACCAGTATTTGCGTAATATTTTTGCATTTATTTAAATATGTGTTTTCCTTTATTATGAGGTGTTACCCTGACTTAGTACACTGATGAAGATGTTGATCCTTTAGTATCCTTCTTGTTACTTTGAATATAAATCACCAGTATTTGGAAGCTTGTTAAGATGGTCACAGTTTTCTCTATCACAATTGTATTTATTTAAACTTCTTCTTTCCCTACGCTTGTCAGGAGACAGTGCAGCACATGAAGAGAGAGAGCACAACGTGTTGAATGTGTTTCTGTTAAAGTGATCTACATCTGTATGGGGATACAGGGAGGCTTCATAATGTAAAGTGTTCACAACTCCATCCTGTGGTGCACATCTGTTTTGGAGAAGCTGTCCTTTTGGAGCTCGGGGAGTTATTTTGTTAGAAAGTGTCAGATTGCAGGCAGGGATGGATGAGCACAGGGCTGCCCTATCAACCCCTCTACACCTGGAGCCGTATATATAGAGCATTGATTGCAGGAGCTTATGTGTTGGCTGGTGTGAGCGCACTGGGAATAAACCAGCGTCTGCTCAGAATAAAGTGAATGGAATAAGGCCACTATTATATTTAATCTCCACAGGCTACAGTGAAGAGATGCCTCTGCTAAATTAAAAGGGAAAAGTCAACAATGTGTATATTCTGTCTGTGTGGAAACCTGAGAGTTCAGATCCAAACGTGGGTGTTTGATGTCCGTTTGTATGCTTTTTGTGTCAATTCAGAGCGAGAGAATAAATTAATTTATATATTTTTTAGAAAATGAAAGCTGTCATATTATTAAAAAAAAAAGGACTGTGGCCAATAAAGAGTCTTAAACAACAGAAGTAATCTCAAAGTCAGACTCAAGTCGACACCTGCACTCACTGCCTTAAAACATTCACAGGTTCTGTTTCACGGCTCTAATATGAGAAAAATCCTAAAAAGGCTTTTCGAGGAGAGCAAGGAGAAGGCGTTGTACAGTGGACCCTTGTCAGTTTGTACAAATATACCAAGTGAAAAAAATATTTATTACCTGCATTGGAAGAAATTGTTTACTTATTGAATGTTACCTGTTTATGTAGAGAAGTTTAGATGTAATAAAATGCATTCTGGTATTTCTCTGTGTGTTTGTGTTCCCTTATTTTTAAACGATGGGGTTTAAGGCTGGGAAATATATCAATACCATCAATATTGTAATATTATCTTAGATATCGTCCTATATTTTGGATGTCCTAATTTCAGAAGTGTTGTTTTTTGAATGGGTTTTAAGGCTATATTAAATAACTGATGTTATTTTCTGAATTTGAAAGAAACATTTTCTAGCTGTTTTAGTTTGCCTTTACTTACAAAATCACATATGATTGTTATTTATCAAATATTTCATTTTGTAAATATTTTAGGAGAGCATCAATGGTCAATTGTGCAAGGTCTTTACAATATCGATGTTAAGGTATTTAGTTAAAAATATTGCAATTTTTGATTTTTTTCATATCACAAAGGCCTTTTTTGCACATGATGCTGTCATAACATTTGAACTGCCTGTTACACTTAGAAGTGAGCACCAGGTGTCAGCACAGAGTCATTGTTCTTGGTCAAATTTTCCCTTTCTGTGATGGTACAAAACCAATTATTCATGCTCTGTCAACACCACGGTGCCTTCCCTACTGTGACACGCGCTATATATAACATCTGAAATGATTAACGTGATGTTTTATTTGGGATTGAAAGTGATGGAGAAGCCTGCATTACGCACAAGACTGATGGACGCATCAACCATAATGTTCTCCAATTAACACCTCAATCCAGCCATTACTGTCATGCTGTCTGAGCAGAGGATGAGTCTTGGAGATGAGAGGAGGGGACAGTGCAGGACAGGAGGGTGGGGTGGATACAGACAGAGGGATGGCACCATGTTTTATAGTCACACTACATACACCAGCTCTCTGTGGACAGAAATTATTTTATCTATC